CACACACACACACACACACACACACACACACACACACACACACACACCTATATACATAGGTACTGCTGTTGGCACTGGCATTCTATTGTGAGTGCTCATGACCGTGAAACACAAAGAAAGCCACTGAGGTCAACATGTGTTTCTGAACATGGTGCGTATTATGCGTATGAATGTGCAAGTCCGAGCGTGTATTTGTGTGTGAAACGATACACAAAAGCAAGTCTCAAGTGCCGTGGGGAAAGTGACAAAGGACAGAGTGCAGTGCGTGGTGTCTATCAACACCAAGATGAAATGTGAACGTCCCCGTGTGTCTGCGGGAGAGAGAGAGAGAGAGAGTGACGGTACAAATAAGCAGACTTAAGTGCAGGGAATAAAGCTAGAAAGCCAGAGTGCGTATGCGCGTCTGTCATTAGTGAGACCGTATGTGACAGTCTGTGTGCATCAACATTTACTGCAGCAGAGTCAGAGCAGAAGAACACAATCCTCTCCCACCCCTACGCACTTAATAATCCTCGCTCTGTGCCATCTGATCTGCTGAGTTGGTCGTACGTACACATGCCTTTGGTCGGAATAATCAACGTGACACAAACAGGGGAGCAAAGATTCAAACTGAGATAATTAATTTACAAGAATAAGTAGTTTGCCTCTCATGACCCCCCCCCCCGGGGAAGAGTTGAGAGTGCAGGAAAACATTTTGGAGGAGACTAGCACTCTTCTGATAGCTGAGTAAGAAAAAAAAAAAAAAAGGTGAAATTTGTGTTAGGAAGAGTGATTTGTTACTGGGTCATGCTACTGCTGCAGTCGTCTTTGATAAATAGGTCATCGCTTTTCGCTTCAAGCTTTCTTTCTTCAATGAGTCATAATTGTTGGAGACTTTTAGGCCAAATATTTGCCTCCTTTTTTGGCTCATATAAATATATATAAAAAAATAGAAGCTCTGATTTCTGTGTTGACGCAAATTTAGCATTTAACCAGATATAAATGAATAATCAACACAAGCCACAGGATAGAAAAGTTATTCTTTATTTCACTCTTTACAGCGAGCCCACGTAACTTTGTTTCACCGTTACCACTGTAACAACTACAGGATAATAGTAAATGCTAACGCTACCGTTCTATAAAGTATACGGAAGAGTTACGAAGTAGGTTAACTGACTCAGCATGGTCATTGTTACACAACAATCTAAAGTTTGCTAACATTAGCTTTAGCTAACACTAGCCACCACAAGCTATTGGTCACAACAGACCAAGTTAAGGCTGTAGCAGCAAAACCCAAATGGATTGTGTTGAATTTAGCAACGGTGTGTTTTATTGCTTCTGAATGAAACTTTTCAGTTGTACGAGGAAGACTTTGTCATTTCTTTTAATCAGAAGTTACATAGCTTTAAAGAGAAGGACAGCCACAGAGCGAATGGCAGCAGGCCTTTTAACACTTGCCTCCAACCATTTGAAATGTGTTTAATTACCGTTGTGTGTGAAGAGCATTACTTTTTCCAAAGGCCTCTGCCTGTCATCTTGTCTACTATGGAAAAACCAATACTGTTCATCTGTTTTCTGCCCAGGCAATCTATTTAGTGTTCCACTTTGTCCCGTGGCTCAATTAGGGAACGTTTTGCATTTGCAGAGTCATCAAACACCGTGCGCCACCTTAAATTCACAGTCTCGGTATCTAAGACAAAGGAAGCAAAAAGATTCCTGCAGCTCTTGTACCGGTGGGAGGTGGTTCATGATGTGATGACCTTCAAATGTCAACCTGGGGGCTTTGACCAAAAACAATTCAAGGCGTAGACAGGCGGAGACGGTCTTCAGACAAAGTTAGTATTTTGAAGTGCATTCGTTCTAAAGCAGCCCACATTCTGTTTTTATGGATCGCAAACAGCCAGTGGACATTTTCCCGCTCTCGGAAGAAGAGGGTTTAATGTGCATGGATGTGGGACTCATTAGCATCAATAGGTATCATCACTGATTTCTCTGCCAGGTCCCCTGCCTTTCGCTACACTGTCACTTCACATTAAGAAGTGGACTCACTCGTGTCCCGTGCCAACATTTGCTTCGTCGTTTTCTGCCGCATGTTGGCTTCATTGCAAGACTCCACCGTGCACTTGAAAAACACGCAGTAGTTTTAGGACGTCTGGCCCCGCAGAGGCTGCTGGATGATCATGTCAATCCTCAAGCAGTCGGTGGTTCTCAGCGGTGGGAGATTTAAATATTCCCAGTACACTGTTGACAACTAAATATCCCTTAAACCCTTTTTGAGGGCAGCAACAGGAGGAACAGCTGGAGCGAGCTCAGGAAGAAAAGGGGGATGAAGAAAACATGGTAGGGTCACTGAAAAGCCAACATGTAGTAATTATTTGGAAAGAGACAGAGAAAACAAGAGAAAGTGGGCTATAACGCAATAATAACTTACAGTGATGTGATTTATATATTTTTAGTAATGAGATGTGTAAAGAGTTACAATTTTGAAAATCAGTAGTTAGTTTAAAGGAGGGTTGATATCAGTCTGTGATATATTTTAGCTTGGCGCAGGGGTTAGAGGTGTGGGGAGGCAGCAAGCCTCTAACAAAAGAGGAGAAATACACCCTCTGGTAACTCCAAAGTTGATGTAAATATATGTTGGCCAGGATATACTCAAAAAGGACTAGTTTTTAGAGGGGGCGAATAGTGTTTTCCTCCTCTTAAATTTATAGCCCCCACCCTCAGGGTAAGGATAAGGGTTGGTTTAGGTTTAGGTAGGAAACGCAAATTGATGGAGAAACGGTATTTGAGACCTTAGCAAAATAACAGTTCATTTTTCAAAGAGTAATGTGTAACGAGTCAAGCAACGCTCTCAACTTCCCAGGAATCCAAATGGTACCTGTATGAATCCTACCATACCAAATTTACGGACATAATTTACAAATTTTCTGTGGACAGCCGCTGTACATGCTATGGATTTTATCTTGACTATAGCAGCAGTGGTAGACAGTCATGCCGACATGACACAAGATTCTGTAGATATTGTTTTCAAGCAAGCATAACGAGCAGCTAATTTCATCACAGCCAGTAGAGATCATGTTAGCTACTGAGCTCATCCATGTCCATTAATATTCATGATTTGATAACTGCAGGGCTGGGAAAGTCTGTGGTATCTGAGGATTACAGACCAGTCACCTAACTCCCTTTTTCTATTCACTCCATCCCAACTTGATATAACTTGTGCCTGTGCTTCTTACTCTCCAAACTCTCTGCTCACAGTTACTCAGGAGATGCAACAATGAAGCTGCTGCTGGTGTGGCACATTTCGCCTTTTTTAAAATGTTTTTTTTTTTTTTTTGAAATGTTGGTTCCAGCTCATGAATCTGCTTGCCCTTTTGAATATGATCAATGACACGCTCACTTTAAAGCATCCACCACATGTTGTGTGTAATATCATGTCATTAGCAAGGTGTGAAATTCTGCATAGCAAGAGATGAGAGATGCACCCAGCGGGGGGGCTGTCATATCAAACACACCACTCTCCTTCCCTCCGACACTCACACCCATGCGCACTGACATGTTCACCCCGCATACTAATCCATACACATGGGCGTGCACATGCACAGTGAGTTGCTCTTTTGCATGACCAAATTAAACAACAGTCCAAACATTATAAATTATTACGACTCTTGCTCTGAACATACTCAAGAGTGGCGAGTACCTGCATGCAGGTTGTTCTATCTGCATGTATAGACAATGTATGGGAAATGGCACATGCTGCCTGTAGGGGTGCAGCCTGCTTATGTTAACATACTTTTTTTTTTTTTTTGCTCTGTTTGTCTTGTAAAGTGTCTTTGGGTATTTTGAAAAGCGCTATAGAAAATTGATATATTATTATTATTATACTAATTAATCAGTGTAAGTGTGTTGCACGTGCAGCAAGTATGTGTTCTACTTCCAGATGAAGATGCTCTATTGTTCAGTCCTCTCCCCTCAGCCCTCCCTAAATAAGTCTCACCAGCCAGTTCCAACAACGTGTAACAGACATAACATTTACAATGCTCTTTGTCCTGCGTTGGATCTGAGTGAAGTCGTGTGTGTTTGATGTTGAATAGGTGTCCACACAACAGCCAGCAGGACTAAAAAAAAAAAAAACTAACCTAAAATGAAAGGGAGGTCTTGCACAGTTGTCCACAGCTGCTGCAAAATTTATTTTGCAGAAGAGAAACTGATTTACTTCAATGGTGTAGGATTTTAAGTATATCTGCACAATAGATGAGTTTCTGGGAGCTCTGGGTGTTTTTCCAGATTTTAATCTCATCTCTTAGAGTCAGGAAATGTAGTCTGGGGCTGTGTCTGCAATCGCATACTAACATACTATTCATACTTCTAAGTATGCAATTTTACAGCATGTGCGTTCACACTGCATAGTATGTGGATTGGGTGTACGCGAGAAATGCGCGCATGTATACTAGATCAGCAAGAATTTCTGAGTATGAGGCGTGACTTTACGGGACACACTCAACTGCCCCCAAAATGCATTGCAGCTTTCTCCAACATTGTTCACAATACAGTGTTCAGGCTATTAAAAAAAAATGCACAAAGCAAGTTTAAGTTTGTGTGTGTGTGTGTGTGTGTGAGAGAGAGAGAGGTATAGCAAAATGGAAAAAGGGAGGCCTGTCGGGGGGGGGGGGGTTCTTCCAGACTGGAAGAACGCTTGTTTTCCAAAGAAAAGTTATTATTTTAGTCTGAGTAATGTGTGTGTGTGTGTGTGTGTGTGTGTGTGTGTGTGTGCATGTGTGTGTGATTATGTAAGAAAAGTAAGATAGGGATTGTTTGTGTTGCTTTATGTGTTGTAAGGACATGTGGCATATATTTGCTTGTCTCAATTCTGTTGGGGAACAGCAGTAGCCACTCTCAAAACAATCAGGTTGTTGTTTTTACACTTTAAGGTTTTGTAGTTCATGAAGTGTAATCACCAGTATTCTGGATACAATTGCATTTACATTGAGATCCTGAATTGAGATTTAAAACTTTCTGCTGAAGATGATTTGACTTTTTGTCATCATCAGTCATAGAAATAATATGTCTTAAACAGGGACAATAAAATAACATAAAAAACAGTCTCATATTCATACAGTTTGAATTCACTCTTGGGACCCCTAACATCTGTTGGATATGTATGCGAGCATTTTTTTGATTATGAATGGTTGTCTGTACAATATGTTTTACTCCTGAATATCCCAGCTCACATCAGGCTGGAATTGATAAACCGCACGGTGAGCGGGTTTGGATAATGGATGGATGGAATTCTCTTCTGTCTCATGCAGGTTTCCTATACTTAAGATACACTGATAGTATATTGTATGCTACCCTGAAGCTAACTGTGTGTGTGTGTGTGTGTGTGTGTGTGTGTGTGTGTGTGTGTGTGTGTGTGTGTGCACGCTCTCTCTCAGTACTCACCACTCCTACTGCGCATCATCCTGGCTGAAATGCCGTTGGCTCTCTCTCCGTTGGGCGAACTGTCCGCGGCGTTTTCCACCGAGTTCACCTCACCTCCCTGCAGCTTCAGCAGGTCTGTCAGTGTCCTAGAGACCAACACACACACACACACTGAACGTAAATGAGTGCCGTCTGAGCACTGATTACTTGCTTAAAAATTAGGAAGATGGTGGAGGGGGGGCACAAAAAAAAACATTGATTCATGTCATCCTTCTACTTGAAAATAAAACAAATATTATGTTGTTGAGTCGTTGCACAGCTTGATCCGTCTGTCAGTAACAAACATCATCTGGTATCCAGATGTGTATTTGGTCCCCTGACAGAAACACAAACACACACACACACACACACACACACACACACACACACACCTGCACCTGCTAACACAATATCAAGCACTACATTTACAGTACATCCTCTCATCCCAGGTGAAAGGTTTTGAACTGTACAGGTGTCTGAATGTGTGTGCATCTGTTTTTCATGAAGGGAATCGGGTGAAGCGGCTGCCTTTATTTTAAAAACCCTCTCTGTCATGTGACCTTAAATCAAGGTATTTTTTTCCTGTCACATTACATAGTCAACATCTTGAACTACTGGGTGTAGTTTTGTCAGTTTATGCTTTTTTCATTTCCACACATTTTCATTGAAAGTGGCTCATCTTCAAGCTGTGTGTGTAAGTGTGTGTGTGTGTGTGTGTGTGTTTATTTCTGTGTGTCCTCTATATACGATAAATTCCAGTCAGCTGTGTTTGACTGGCGGCCGTTTAGCTGAGCGACATATGGCCAAGATTTCCTGCAATATGGTCATGTTTGGACTCGGGGCTTGTTGTGGTTAGATGCAAGAAATGCAAAAGAGTGACAGCCTCTCACACACACACACACACACACACACACACACACACACACACACACAC